CCCCCAGTAAGGATTTGAGTGGAAAATGAAGGATGAACGTCTACAAAAATGGACACTATTGGACAAATGTTCTTGCTAACAAACTAGGAAAAGCTTAATGATTCAGGCCAAAGCTGGTATCTCTAGATGTTCCACTGCAACTCTGTATTGCCAATTGGATAACATTCCTGTGTTACATCCCTGAGTGTAGCCATGTCTGTCCTCCAAAGCACTTATCCCTGGTATTGAACTACTTGTACCTGGTGCTTTTGAATAACATGACTGTACTTTCGAATATGATGAACTGAAACATTGTGGTTATAGTAGTCTATAACCATGCTAGGTGTTTTGTACTTTGGTTTAAATTGCCAGGTTTCCCATGACTCAGTCCATTCAAGTTTTGGCAATTCCAGGTGAACAAACATGCATGCACACACAGGTCTTCTTTGAGATATTATTAACAAGAATGTAGAGGATTTATTGCAGCATGCCTGCTTGATTGGTAAACAGGTTTGTTCAGGCTATAGTTTTGAATCCCATCCAACTTTTTTTGTTTACAGAAATGATCTCTCATCTTCCACTTAGGCAGTAATTTAACATTACTTTCCTTCAGCTATTGATATCTATCATTGTATAAAAATCACTGTGTTTTTACTTGTCTTCCTAAAATACAATACCCTGCTCTACATCTATTCTATATTGAATCAAGTGAGATTCATAAAACCTTTGACCAGGTGCTGACATTGATGGTCAATTCAGTAGGGTATAAACACATACACATACCTACATCCTCACCCCATCTTGTGATGGGCCTGGCCCATGAAGCATTTGAAACCACAGGTTCAGAAGGCCTTGCAAAACCTTACTGCTCCCTTCTCAGTGCTCCTCTGATTGCACTGAGCCACTGTTAGCATGAGGAAAACTTGCTCTGTATCCACTGGTATAGTACAAGCATCAGTTGAACTTGCATGTGCTGAGATACTGCAGAAGAGCTACATTGTGGTGTGACACCCTCTTCACTGACAGGGCCGGGCTATAACTATCTCTTCCCCAGTCTAGGCTCAGAAGGAGGGAGAATGAAGAATGTCTAGGTTTAACCATAGACAGAAACCACGAGTCTGGAGCCTGTGAAGTGCAGAAGTGGTCCCGAGTTACAGAATCATAGAATCATAGAATCAGCTGGGTTGGAAGGGACCTCTGAGATCATCAAGTCCAACCCTTGATCCACTACTGCTGTGGTTGCTAGACCATGGCACTAGGTTCTGACATTACTGTTGCTCTGTGTTGCCTGTTATAGCATCTACTAATAATTTACCTGGATTTTAAAATAGTCCAGGAAAAGGCTGATATCTTGCTCTCACAACATGAACTTGCCTCAGAGTGAAAAATGTGACATTCAGAAACATGAGTAAAGAAGGGTCACTTCTTTACTTCACAATACCCCAGGGCTTATCTTAATATTTTAAACATGTTATTTCTGGGAGTTCTCTGAGAATTAGGCAGTGGTTGAGGAACTTAAACTATAGATGGAGGTGCTGAGGGAGGTAATAGGGCACCTACCTCACTCTTAGTCCCAAAGGACAGCCTCTCTCCCAGTCTACTGCGATAACTGTGAGTACAGTGGAGATATGACCAGGGTACTAGAGACATCACTACACCTTGGGGAAATTTAGCTTGATTGTAACAAAAGCAATGTGATTATCTCAGACCTGGGCTGCTACATGTGCGGGGAAGAATTAGATATATTTTAAAATAAAATAATACAATGTTAAAGAAAAACATGACATTAAAAATTGACTTAAAAATAAATCTCTCAAAATTCCACCCTCTGAAATTTATTAAAGAAAATTGAATTACTCTGGAGTCTGTATCCTGGTTATCCTGTTGCTAACATCAATTCAATGTTAGCAACAAAGACTGAAGCTAATCATCTGGTTCATTTTGCCCAGTGCTTTTCTGTACCGGACAATCATGTTCTATATAGCATTTAACACAGAGATCAAGTATCACTTTAAAACTGACCACATAGATCTTACCTCTTGGTTCTGGAAAAAGGCTCTGCTTAGCAGAGCTGTCACCGTCTAATTTCCAGTTTCCAGTCCTGAGGAGTTTACTTGCCTTTGCTCTTGAATCAAATGTATCCTCTTTGCTTATAGTAGCCATGTAATCCCTTCCACCATCTGCAGTCCTCCACAGAGGCACACTGTTCCTTCTTGTAGCCCTTCTCTGCACCTATTCCAGTTGGCTTCATCTGCATAAGAGTAGTTGACCCAAACTGTGCAGAGTTGTATTGGATGACCAGGTTTTGGTAGTGAGGAGCTACAGGAGGGCCTTCTGTGAGAGATTATCAGAAGCTTCCCTTGTCTCCAACACAGCCAATGGCAGCCGGCTCCAGGATGGACCCATCACCGGCCATGGCTGAGCCCCTTAGTAACAGTGGTAGTGCCTCTGGGATAATGGATTTAAAAAGGAGGGGTAGGGGAGGGCGGGGAACTGCTGTGGAAACAGCAGCCAAAGAGAAGAGTGAGAACATGTGAGAGAAACAGCCCTGCAGACACAAAGATCAGTGGAAATGGAGCAGGAGGAGATTCTCTAGATGCCAGAGTAGAAATTCCCCTGCAACACATGGAGGTCCATGGTGGAGCTATCTGCCTGCTGCCCCTAGAGAACCCCATGCCAGAGCAGGTGAGTGCCCAAAGGAGACTGTGACCCTGTGCGAAATCTGTGCTGAAGAAGGCTCCTGGCAGGACCCATGGCCCAATAGAGAGAAGAGCCCATGCTGGAGCAGGTTTGCTGGCAGGACTTGTGACCCTATACAGGACCACACTGGAGCAATCTGTTCCTGAAAGACAGCACCTCATGGAGGAGACCCCACACTGGAGCAGGGGAAGAGTGTGAGAAGTCCTTCCCCTGAGAAGGAAGGAGCAGCAGAGACAACCTGTGATGAACTGACTGCAGTCCCTATTTCCCATCCCCCTGCACCACTGTGGGGCAAGCAGGTAAAGAATTCAGGAGTAAAGTTAAGCCTGGGCTGGGGGGAAGGCGATTTTAAAATTTTGTTTTATTTCTCATTATTCACTCTAATTTGATTGGTAATAAATTATTTTTCCCCAAGTCAAGACTGTTTTCCCTGTCACAGTAAATGCTGAATGATGTCTCTTTCTCCTTATCTAGACCCATGAACCTTTTGTAATATTTCTTCTCCCCTGTCCAGCTGAGGAGGGGAGTGACAGAGCAGCTTTAGTGGGCACCTGATATCCAGCCAGGGTCAGCCCACCACAGAAGTATCACTGTATTTATATTTAGGCATTGGTAGCTGGTGACAGAGACTAGGAAATAGCAATTTGCTATCTAATATAACTTTTATTCAAACTATTTATAGCAATAACATTTATTTCTTACTATTATTCTGAAGTGAAAATGCTCCATTTCAGATTTGACTGTAGTGTATTTACTGCAGAAGAAATAAGTAATTCAGTTGGTATTTCTAAAAATATAATTAGTTGATGAGTCAGAGAAGAATTTCATTTTCATAAATGTTAAGGCTGGAAGACTGGTTTATCATGATCAGTGTGTCCGACCTGTGACTGCGTCATGTCTTAGGAGTCTGCCTGGTAATTCTTGCGTCAGTTTGTAATTAAGCTGGAATACTGTTCAGACAAGACTGAATAAAGGGCCCAAACCACATTCTTGCAATGTGCTGAATGTTATTTCACACAAACAAACAAAAGGTACACCCCACAGACAAGCCTGAATATGGTGATTCATCATTTTAATTGAAAAATTGAGGACCATTAACATTTACTAATATGCTAATCTCTGATAACTCAGTGTAAATTTTTAGAACATCATACATAACCATAAACCAATAAGTGTGTGTATATGTATATGTATATATCTGTCTATATACATAATGCAATGAAACATATTTCTATTTACGGGAATTTAAGCCTTACCAAGAACCTGTATTAGCCATGAGAGTTTAGTAAATAGAAAAGAAAGCAGCTGGGATAAAATGAAAAGGTGTAAACTCATCAAAATCTAGAATGCAATAAAATCTGTGGAAGAGGAAACTGAAAACTAAAAATGAACACCACGTAGAGCAAAAGATAATATTTTATTGACTGGAAAACAGACTGCTATGTACTTGTTGGTCAGTCATTATCTGTACTGATTTTATGCCACTGCACTTCAGCCTTGGCTTAGCTATGCACACATATTCTTTTTTTTTAAGTTTTTTTTTTCACTCTCGTATCTAAAGTAACGTCTGTCTTCACTATGAATAAAAGCCACTCAAGTCAGCCAAAAAATTCTACGCACTTAAGGTCAGAGTCTAAAGAAGAGTGACTTAAAGATGTGCTAGATGAAGACTCAAACAGCGCTGAACAGTGCAGAATCTATTATTCTTAACATCACCGCTCCATTCACAATGGCCTAGTACATGAACCAGGCCACTGTAACATACAGTATGGGAAAAGGAAGAAGATATATGTTTGTAACACAGCTCTAGATGACCTTTAATAATAGACAATTGAGTGCTGAAGCTTAGCAAGGAGATAGAACCTTCTCGGAGCCAGCTACCTAGAAACCAGGACCTTGTACTGCAAGCAAGAACTACCTAGCTTGCAATGACAACATTACTAATTCTTGACGTACTATTGGCAACTACATGTGGCACACGGTAACATGAATTGAGTATTGGTTCTGGAGAGCTTATAGCCTGTTGTCCACAAGCAGGCATTTACAAGAAAAAAGATGGAATGTGAATCAAAGACCTAGCAGAATTGAAATGGTAAGGTCATTAACAGGGCTTTGATCGCTGTCAAAGAAGCTTTGAAGGGACAAGGTTAAAGGGACAAATGTGAGTGTGCTCTTGTGTCTGCTAATTAAAATATATACTTTATGTATGTATTTGAAGGTCTAGTGAAGACAATGGAGAAAGAGTCCTAAGGTATATTAGCTATGGGAAAATGTACATTAGCAGTATTCAATCTTGGGCAATCCTCACCTCTTTCAGTAGCTCAAAATACGAATTTATTTATGTTCTAGAGCAACTGTGTCTGAAAAATTAAGCACAGTTACCCAATTTTGGGAAAGGACTTGTGTTGTAGTGTTTTGGATGCCTGAAGACTATGTTTTTGAGGAGCAATCACAATCTCAGTAAGAGGAGGAAAGTGACCTTTTTTCCCCTTTTTCTAGCCCTGGAAGGAACATCTCTGACTCAGTGGCCCTCTGTGGGGAAGCACCTCCTCCTCACAGTTTCTGCCTGCTTTGTCAGCATCTTCTTGGCCTAAAGTGTGGACAAATATAATATTTATGAGTTGTTCTCATTGATTTTATGATCCAATAGAAAAATGTACATGCCTAGCTCTCCATGCCCAGGTCTGCATCCATAAAACAATGTTAATGCCTCATCAATATTCATATATCATACAGACTTTTCACAATCCTCCTTGTTTTCATGGGAGATGAAAGGTAAATTTTTAAGCTTCTAACAGCAGAGTGCAGTGTGTTACAAGGAAAACATACTGTAGTTAGATTTAAAATATATGTGAATCTTTTCTGCATCATTTTCTTAACCAGTATGGGGTTGTTTTTCTTAACCAGTATGGGGCATAATTTTTCTATAAGCAGTTATAGATATGATAGAATTAAACTGCTGAGGGAAAGTTACTTGAATGACTAAATAACTACTACAACTTTTATGTGGTTTTCTTACAGCAGAGTAATGAACTGTGTTGTTACAGAGTGAGAATAATGCAGCTGTACAGCTTTCCACAGAACTACGAAGCAGAGGCACATTCATGGCAAAGGATGTCATCCTGCCGAGTGAGGAATTCCCTGCTCACCAGGGAGACAGAGCATTTTGCACAGTTAAAGCATTCCCCATGCCACTGACGTTCTTCAAATGAGATATATTTGGCACTTCCGAGAGCTGAAATAGATTATGAAAAAGATGTGAATCCAGTGTTTCTGAACATGGTTCAGAAATGTAACAGATTGCTTTCTGATGTGTGATCAGGTTGTCATGCATACAGTGAACAAACAAACGAACAAAAATCCATAGTCTGAAATATTCTCTGTTGACTGAATTGAAAAAAACTCCCATAACTTTAAAACTAAATACAGTGAGAAGTATTGTAAGTAAAGGCACAAGTCACTCGCTTTCTTGCATATTCCATTATGAGCTCTGAACACAATGGTTTTATCAGAATGTTCACTCAGATTTGCTGATCTTCCCAACAAACTCTCATGAAAATTATTTGCAATATGCTTATACATATAGTTTCTATACAACATTTAATGAAGTTTAATAATTTCCACCTAAGTTTCTTCAAGATAGAGTCTTTTGGAAATTACCAGATCATGGAATTCCTAACACAAGTATCTGAAATAAAATCTCGAGGTTTGTGGGGATTTGAATGTTTTTGATTTGTTAGTTGTTGTTTTGTGTTTGTTTGGATTTTTTTTGTAAAATCATGCATATTTGATAATCATCATTTTCTTTGTCCACTGACACATGCAGCATGCACCTGTAAGAATCAGGCAGTATTTTTAGTCCACACATAATAGAATTACAATGCAGAACACCAGCAAATGCTCTCAGAAAACTTCAGCTGGCATAGACTAGTGACATATATGTCTAATTATAAATCATCTAAGTACAAAAGGATGCATGTGGTAGAGCTTTGTTGCACTTGGCAAACTTTCTAATTTGACAGGTGTACCTTACCAGCAGGCATTTAATCTGTGTTCAGTTTGATCACATTTGCATTTAAAAAACAAAACTGAAGAAATTACAGACATGAGTTACTTGTGCGTACTGTCCTGGAAAGAGCAAAAAAAAGCTTTTTCTTATATTTTTAAGGAGGAATTTTAGTGCAGAATCAAATCAAATGATGGAGGAACTCCTTTCAGCACATAAAACGACTCCTCGGCAGTTAGGGAACATGTGTAATCAGCTGATGTCCTAGCAAGATATATTACATGTGATATAGAGTGTGTCTCTCTAATAGTGAACTCCTTCAGTCTTTCATCGTGATGAGACTATTTTTTAATGGTGTTTTCTAAGGTAAAGCTTTCGGAAGAGACTGATGATTCGTCACTGTCTAGTCCCCTTTAAAAGATGAGACTCACCTGTAACAGGTTTCTTGCAAGCAGCACACTTCTTAGCATACAATCTGCTGAAACAGTCCATACAGTATGGGTACTCATCTTTGGAAATAAACCTTTGTCCATAGAGCTGGGTTTTACACCCAGCACAAACAAAACATTCTTTATGCCAAGGCTGGTCATGGCAGGTCACGCCTCCAGAAGTTATTACCTAATGTATTGACAAAGAAGGATAGAGCAATGAAACAAAGGTGTGAATCAGGAAGGATTGTCCAATCCTTCATAGGTAATTCCACTTGTTTTCTCTCTTCCCATATGCACAAGAGGTGAGACTGTGGTCACATCAACTGTTTTTCATCTGTATTTTCAATTTGACTAACTGCAGTTGAGCTCAATGTGCTAGTGGTTTGTTTTTCAGTTTTCTGTCACAATATAGCCTCCAAATTTGTAATAATCAGGTTATCTTCTAATGAATTTTTTCTATTTTATTGTAGATAAAGGTTTAAAATTAGGGATACTCTCAGAAGAGAAATTCTCAGTGATGGTCAGTGGGTGAGAGAACTGATGCTGAGATAATGGTTGATCTCCAACTGGAATTGGTATTTTGCTGTCTCACAATTGAAACAGTATTTTAAATAGGAAGAAAGGCAGTAAAGAAGTCTAAGCAAAACAGAGATTTACACTGTCAGAAGAAGAAAAAATGGTGTTTAGCAGTGTCATCAACTTTTCATTCCCAGCCACTCACTCACAGCTCTTCATTGGTTATTTCTGAAGAGAGAAATTTCCAGTTTTTTATGGCTCCCATATGTGTGGTAAAGAGCTGATTTCACAGAAGTTGTGAGAGACTGTACAGAAAAATTTCTATAAAGATGAGTTGTAAGGTAGTGTTTCTACTGTCAAATCACATGCATGACAGCGAATGAATGAATGAATGAATGAATGAGTGAATGAATGAATACAGTTGGAACAGGAGGAGAAAAAGTTGGAGAAACAAGTAGAAATAGCGCTATCATCAAATTTCCTTGGGGAATACAGTTTCAGGGAAATAAAGAATAATACTGCATCATGTCAAGCAATAAAAAGACTTAAATAGTTCCTGATCCCTTTAACATTCCAGTTTTGGGCTATTCCAAAGTCACATTTGCTTTTTCATTAAAATCTAAAAATCACTGGCACAAAATTCAAGGTTTCACTTTGGCAATTTAATCGCTTTGGGTTCAATTCTCATTTATGGGAACTGATGCAAGTTTAAGAAGTACAATTGTTTCAGCTATTATATCGGGGGACACTCTGCATTCCTAGAATTTTTAAGAAGCAAATCCTGATTATTTCACATTGGTGCTGCTAACCTCAATGCCTCTAATAAACATCAAGCATAATTACTATAATTGCCATGTGATCATTTAATACAAATTAAAGGCTAGATTTAGAGACATGAAAATATACAAAAGTACTTTCTAAAGTTTAACTACTGAAGAAAAAAACAAGTTTACAGGTAAACATTAAATAAATACATAAATTATAAGTTATTTGATGAAATGAAAAAAAAAATTGTTTTTCTTCCAGGGTGATAGAGGTACTAAAGAATAAGTTAAATTCTGCCATAAAAAACAGCTTAAAACAGTTCCCTAGAAAAGAGTATCACGTTAGAATAGTATGATACTCTGAGTTTTTTTCATCAAGTAGAGGCAATTTTAAAATGTGAGAAATCAAGGGAGGGAAGAATTGATTTATTTGTACTTGGGGGGAAAAAGAAAAACTCATTTGAAATCAAGCTTTCTGGTAGCCACAGGGAAAGTATCATGTATTAAAGCAGTGGGACTCTTGACTAGTGTTATCACAATTGAATGTTACTTGAGCTGATAATTGCCTGATACATTTCAAGGAAAAAAAAGACATGACTGTGGATGCCTTGCTCAGCTTAGGTGACTTGTACATGTGAATATATACATAAAAATGATGGAAAGAGAGGCAAGTTTGCCAAGGCAAAATCAGACATTATCAGGAAAGAGGGCTTTTATATAACTTTCTATTTAACTTTTGCTAAAAATCACAATCAGTAACAAAAGAAGCACAAAGCATTTGTTTCGGTCAATAAGTGTATTTCAAAGATAATCAGTCTTAGATTAATATTATCTAGAGTGGACAGCCGACACTGTTGCAGTTGGTTTTCAGTGCCCAATGTCAAAAGGAAGACTCTGCTCTTATTCTTAGTTCACCAGATGTTTTATATGACCCAGCCCTTTCCACCATGTCTCATTAGGATAGTTTTTACATTACATGTTTAATTACCTTTTTGCAAGAGTAACAATGGTGAGCAAATTGCTTCTCAAAGCAGGGTACGCAGTAATTCTCATTGTCTTTGGTGATTAATGGTTTTGTTCCCAATGGTTGCTGACAATACCGGCAAACGAAACAGGATTCATGCCAGGAACTCCCCTTAAATTCCATTTTACGGGAACCTGAAAAAACCCAAAGTGAACAATCCCCCCCCAATACAGCCTTGTAGTATAAGTTTGAAATGTTGAGAATACTCTTGTTTTCAACCTTTGATCTTAGTAGCAGGTTACCCAAGAAAGCACTTATCTTAAATTTAATAGAGCTTCTAAGAATGTACTTGAAATTTCAAGAACATATTCAGATCCATACAATCACCTGGCAAAAGATGTGCTAAAATGCCTAAGCTGTGATTTTGAGTCTGTCCTTATATAAATCTCTTGGAGTTTTTTCTTTGTGATTATGCTTCAGTTACTCAGATTTTCTCTCAAGCCGGCCAACTCAGTGATAATGTTCAGATTCACAGCACTTTTATAAATTAGAGATTAATTTCTTGGATGCTTACTACATCTATTATTGTCTTGTCTTTTGTCTTCCTTAACTAAAGCTCCTTCAATTATAAATGCATTACTTATCTTAATCAGCTTAAACTGGCAAGTTTTTAAAAGTAAATATTTTTTTCTGTGATGCAGTGCATTACACTGCCTCTTCTTATAGCTCATAATTTCATCCTAAATCAACAGTTTTTTTTATCATGTTTAACTAGATGCTTTTGATACAGCTCAAGGACAGAAAGTAATTCAGTTAAATACCTGTCAGAGGAGTTTCAGAGATTTTATCTCTGTGTACAGGTGTCCTGTACACCTTGAGGTAGAAGCATAAGTCTAAGATACGCACAGACAACCGAGAACGAATTTTCCAGTGAATCTCCATCACAACTTCCTTCCCCGTAGGTAGCATCATATTGCTAAGACAGGTGTAAGGTAATTTACCATCTTTTCCACATCAAGAAGAGAATTGCCAGTATAACGGATTAATCCCACATTACCTGTTTCCGGGATTGTGGGGCTAGTGGAGAAACTACTGGTTGTATTCAAACAGAAAAGGTTTGCAGCTTCATTCCAGTGATCAGAAGGCTAACTTTACTGTCTTTGCCTACCAGGTCTTTTCAACTCAGAGCTAGTAAGCTGATGAGAAGGAAGTTAATGATGCAGAGATGGGCTAGTGTTCCCATGCCCCTTCAGTTCTCTGTTTGCACTGTTACCTTCAGGCATTTGCTGCAAGGATTTATACTCCTAGACTCTGGGGCAATACCTGAGACATGAATATACACCAGAAGACAATTATGCAAACCTGAGTAAATTCTGGTACTATTCTCATCACATGGTGTGCCTATTTACAACATTTTTGTAAACTATATACCATTTATACCATATATAGTCTTTAAACTGAACACAACTATATTGCTACAACATTTATTTCCTCTAATACATCTTTTATCTGTCATGAAGAGGAAATAAACTGTAAAATTACAAATCAGTGTTACAGGTTGAACATGACATCAATAACATAGTATTTATACTAAGACAATAATTTTGCACAGCCTGGACCTTACTGTTTGGTATTAGATCTACTGAAAGAGAAAATTCCTGTATCACTGCCAAATTTACTGATATCGTTCACCAAAAATTCCCAAACTAGTAGTCATGAGGCCACAGCAGATAATTTGCAGCTGGTATTTAGAGTTACATACAGGATCTGTAAAATGTTTTGACCATTGAGGGTAGTTGTCTGTTCCAAAAGTTGGGTACTTGCTTGCCTATGCAAGCAGCTTCATTTTTCCACATTCAGTACTATGGCTTCTCCTAGATGCCTCTGAAGAGGTGTCTTTTGGGCAATCTCTCTGCTTTATGAGCTTTACTGGTGTGGTAGCAATGAAAGGCCTAGAGGATATCTGAACAAACATGATCACAAGCTGAGAGGCAGTTTAGTGAAAAGTGTAGAATTTTCAAGTTTGTTGATAGCAGGAAGTAAATTTACTGTAGACACAAATGTATTCTTTTTAGCAAAAATGCTGATAATGATTTGAAGGCAGATTGTCATATTTTGACAGTTTAAACAAAAATATTTCTGAATTAAAGGAATGGTATAAAGAACATAAGCTCAAGGTCTGGTTAATGTGATAGACAAACATGCAGATGTCCTGTCTCATCAGTCACTCCTGCTCACAATAGCTCAGTTTATCTACCTACTCTCACAGAGGGATATGCTTCCTAAGAACTACAACAGAATCAAGGACATAACATGAACTTGTTTTACCCAGTCTTGAACTCTTAATATTTTTTGTAAGGATTCATAAGACCTGTCAGTGCTAGATCAGAGGTATCTGCCTGCCCTCTCCTCACTACCACGAGAGTACTACACAAAAAGGAGGAGTAGTCATCTCAAAGCTGTACTGAAAATCAAGGACCTTGCAGCTTGCTTTTCCAAGAAAGTGCTGGAAATTAAAAATGCAGCTCCATTTTTCATGGAAGGGTCCCTGTTGTCTTACCAGGCATAATAGTCTTCTGGCAATGGAAACACTTAGACGAATACTCATCAGAGTAACATTCTGTACACAGCAAGACCTCGTCCTTGGCAGCAAACGGTTTCTCCACCAGCGAGCGACTGCACTTGGCACACTTGAAGCACCTCTCATGCCAGTGGCGGCCTTTGTAGGCCAGATCCTTGGAGAAAGTAAGTTCATGTTAATGAAAACATTTCTTCACAGTGTTTTTATCCTTCAGCTCCTTGAAGAATTAAAATAAAAAATGGAGAGCACTGCAGTGGTGACTTGACAAGATGATAGGTGCATCCAGCCAGGGGTGTGCTCAGGAATGATGTAAGTACTCAATGTCATGCTGTTTTGTAGATCTCTTGCAGAGGCCATTAGGAGCTGCTCTAGCAGATACAGTGGTCCTTCCTTCCTTATGTAACATCAGAGAGACATTTTTATGGGAAGAATCATTTTATATTTTACAGTTGGCCTTCAAGGGGAAACAAGTGATAAACATTTTTAATATGCACAGACCACCTGACAAGAAGTCCATTCTCTATAGAATTTGAAATGAACCTCATGTATTTTCAATGTTACTTCTTTTTTCTTCCAGCTGACACTGCATAACACTAAAAGAAAGATCACATTATTGCAGAAAACAAATAATTAAAATCTCATTGAGAACAAAGTGATTATTAGGAAGATTTTAAAAAATCACTGCTTTTGTTTACACCTGATATAAATCCTCCTGAAATCTGAGCAGAAAAATGTTTGTTTAAGGCTCAGCAGGCTTAGGAAATGAAAGAGCTAACAGTGTATGTATGAGACCTTGACTAAGAATTCAAAAAAAGACCAAACAGCATATACAATTTTTCCAAGGTTAAAAAAAACAAGGCAAAAACAAACCTCAGCCCTCCTCCCCCAAACATAAACCAGCCTCTTCCAGATCTCCTTTATAAGTAAGAAGCACAAAAGGGCACAAATCCAATCTCATTGTCCTCCTTTGTCAAGTCCCCACCTTTTAAAGTTCTGAAAATGAAAGAAATACCATGCTTCATTTCAGGAGGTGCTGAGCACTTAACACTTAATTTGTTTTAATTAGCACTCTGAACCTTGCTGGAAGAAGGCTGTCAGCCCAGACCAGCCTGAGGCAAAGACTTGGGGGGAAGGAGGGGAAGAAAGCCAAGCTCCAACACCTTGGCAGAGGTGGGACATTAGCTGTAGATTTCTGTGAGCCATTTTTCTAGATTACTCTAACCTGTTGCACTCCTTTCTTGTCACCCCTGCTTTTTTCTCGCATTTTTTTTCCTTCCACTCAGTCCAAATACACAACTTTTTGCATACGATCTTTGATAATAGTAATCCTGTCATTAATTTTCAATTTTAAAAGTGAAATTATTGAGCTGAAAGCATATGTTTTTCCAGGTGAACTTGACTGGTGCTACGTGTTCAGTTTTGCTGTTGGAAAAATGCTGATGAGAGTTTGAGGAGTGTCTTAATCCAAGTCATCATTTTCCTTGCATGATTCCTGTACTCAGACAATGTGCTTTGAAGTGCTTTGACTGGGGAAACCTTCCAAGAGACTTATTTTAGCAACTTTCACCATTTATTTCAAAAGAATGGAGGCAAAGCGAGCATGGAGAGAAGGTGAACACTGCACACTGAAACTGGTAAGGTAAAGGCTTTTTGCTAGGTTTCATCTGAATTTAAAATGTAAAGTCAAGTGTATGTGCTTTAAATTGAAATATGGGGTACTGGAAACCCTTTCAAACACCACAGAGGAATTTGTATTATTAATTAATATTATAAAGAAAAGGAAAGTTGAAAGGAAAGCCAAGGTCAGAAACATTGCCACTAACATGCCATCTGTGAGATGACCAAAGTAAGCATGGAATTAAGCAAAAATTAAAAAATACTTAGTTTCCAAAAACACATGGAATGATATGTAAATTATAAACATATTGTCTTTTCAGCTTGGCACCTGCATGTCAAAACCTACAGTAAAAGTAATTTATTCAATATACAAAATATTTTTTCAATGGACATTTCTCAGAAATTCCAAAGTTTCATTCAACCTGATGCACTGAATTACATCAGCACCCTATCATCCCTCTGGTACTGTGCAGCTTCTGCAGCCAGTGTGTGACTGGAGGTGAAGCCTAGCCATATGCTTGAGATACATATATGGCAGATTTCCTAATCTTTGGTCCCAGAGCTTTCCTATTCTGGGAAAATAGCACTGCTCCTGTCTGCTGTGTGTGGATGTACAACCATCGTGCTTAGGTGTCCTCAGCAATACAGGGATATGCAGAGTATTGGATATAGAATCTGCCATTAAAGAAATTGGATTTGTGTGTAATTTAACAAAGAGGAAGAATTGAAAGCTAGATGTTTACCTTGGAATTGCACTCAATAGGTTGCTTGCACTCTTCACAGGGGTTGGCATACAGGCTGTCATAACATGCAACACAATAAGCGTTTTCATCTCTCAATGCATATTTCCTTCCACGAAGAGACTGCAGGCAGTAATGACAGTCTGTGTGACTGCTGGTCATTCTGTTGGGGTTCTCCAAGTGATCTGGAAAGATGGACAAATCATGTAATTCAGTGGATGGCCATTTGCTTGGACAAATAATAAGTAATGCTGTGAAAGTTAGACAGGCATTTTTTGGTCATTTGCAGAGCCGTAGATTTCTTAATGCTGGGTCGTTCTGTAATAAAATGGTAGCCTTTAACAATGTATTGTATTGTATTACCAATATGTGGGGAGCAAGAGGACTGCTTCAGCTTATTTTAATCGTGCTAACACAATTTCAGGTCAGACACCTGTAAATGAAGCCATCTTCACATTCTCTGTGTACAGCTACTGGTATTATGAGCATTATAAATTGGATTTTAAGACATGGATTATCAAGAAATCAGGTAATGGAGATAGAAGCAATGATCCAAAAATGAAACCAACTGCAGAGTATTAAAAAGGTCAAAGAGAAGGGGTTTTCCTGACTTTCTCTTGATATTTCTCTCTTCTATTCATTCCTTCCTTTTCAAAATATTCCCACATCTACCTAACCGAACAGAAGGAAGACATGGGACTCCAGGATATATGACTGTTTTTCACATTATCCCAACTGTGCTGCTAATATTTGGTGGCAATGTAAGGTCACACAGATACCCGTGGACAGCAAAAGAGTAAAATATAAAGAGAAATAAACTAAATCATAAGTCAAACAAAATCATAACTCAGAGAAAATTTCCCTTGTTGTTATTGGAAAAGATTGTTTTTTCTTACATATTTCTTTATTGCTGGGTTCCATGTTGGCAGTACCAAAATAATATGAGTTAGTTTATATTTCTGTGCCAAACAAGTGCAGGAAATACCACAAATCTATTGAGAGCCAGTTGTACAAATTTCCCATCCTTCAGTTTTTCAGGCTAAAGAGGCTTGGATAAGTATCCAAACCTCAGCTACTTATAGATCTGCAATGCTGAATGTTTTAAGGATTGTGGAGATGAAGACTTATTTCAGTCTTCTTGTTGCTGATTGGATCATCAGCACTTTGCTAAAATTGGGTCTTGATTCCTGGAAATGAAGGAAGAAGAAACCAGAAAGTTCACAGTGAAGCAAACCCAAAAACATCTGCTGGAGTCGTTGGATTGCACTCTTTGTTAAAATCACTGGGTGTAGCTGGTTGCAGGCAGCACAAGCAACCATGAATTTTAGAGGAGTTGAAAACAACTGGGGAAGGTCTCCTGAAGTATTTACATATCAGTGACTTTGGGCAGCTGAAATTTTTGCACTTTGAATAACAGTGCTAATTTGTTTATTTTAACCAGATACAAAGCCTGAGAGTAAGGAAGAGAAGCATGTGGAGGACAAGATTTGAGGGAGTGCTTAGCTATGACAGAGTTTACCTCTAGTCCACTTAGAGTTATGCCCTCATACTTTTTACACACTCACTGCCTGGCTTATACCCACAGTTAAGTTTTAAAAAGGCATTTTATGGGTTTCTGTTTCATAAGACCTAAACTGAAATGGCTGTTCAAACTGTGAGAAAAGAACAACTACTGTAGGTCTCCACTAGCACCAATGCATAAGGTCAGGCATTGACTGATCTATTCCGGGAGATGTAGTGGTAAAATAGCAGGGAGGGAGGCTATTATACTTGTTTCAGACCAAAAGTAATGACTTGATTGTTTGGCACAAGCTATGGAAAACTTGTTGATCCTGTAAATTGAAAATTTTTAACATTGAATTGATTTACTGTATTTCTTATTACCCTTAATGTTTTTGCCAACCAAGATAGGGTATAGTAAGGAAATAATCTGTAACTCAGATTAGTGGGAAACATGCTTGTTTAAAAATATTTCAGATGTGTTTTATGTGATATCCTTGGAATGATAGTATAATAGTGTTTGAATCTGGACTTCCATTTCCTGAAGATCAAACAGTAATTTGAGTGTGAAACAAATGAACCCATTTATATGAGAAGATTACTTCCATTGGCTTGTACATTTACACAACATGACATATAAAACCCAGACAGAGCTCAGTGCATCTAGTGCACAATTACAGTCATCATCAAATGAAGGTTAAGATTTTTTTTTATATCAGGGAAGAAGTATAAATTGGTGTCTAAGGAGACAAGCAAGGCATGTTTGGGGTTAACTGTGCTCCATATTCAAGGTCATATGACAAGCTTGAGACTAGGTTTCAGGGGAATTTTCATTCCTCTTTCTGTGGAAATTAGTTACCAACTGCCTCAGAGGATAACCCTGAGTACACCTTCCTGATCTCCTCCTGAAACAGTAGTCCAGCTTCCTAACAGAGTTTCAAATCAGCCTAAAAGTTGCAAAAGCAAAATCCTAACAGGGCAGAGATAAAGAATTTATGTCACTTATAGTGCCTTTTGTTGCACAAAGCTTACCAACAAATAACTTCACTTATCTGCAGAAACATCTCTGTTTTTTCATTCTAATGAAAGTCAATCACATTTTAAAGTTGTCAAAGAGTCTGCATACAAAATAATTTTCTTTAAAAAGTGATTCTCTTGATTATTACTTCCCCCCCATCCCTCACTTCCACCCCCCGCCCCCTCCAGGAACTCAGTCTGTTCCAGTAAGCCCAGGTTGTATGCACAAACAAGACCCACTACTGTAAAACCTCAGGAACTTCTGAATTTGATAATTACCCTCCTAAAACCCTATATGGATATGGGAGCAAGGTGCTATTACTTCTGTTATACAGATGACAGTGGTTGTTTGAGAATTTTAAAAAAAGTACCCCCAAGACCAGAGGCAAAGCCTGGGGGTGTCCTTGGTAAAATGTCCTCTAGTAAAATGTTTGAGTTGCCCAAGGCTTCGCTTCAGAAAAAGTCTTCAAAGTTTGATCATGATGATATAAGATCATGTTTGGGAATGAAGCAGTGACAGTATGAAAAAGAAGGAAGATTTTTGCAAATCTTTTAGCAAAGGTCTAGGTAGCCTTTGAGAAGTGCTTTTACCATTAGATAATGCAATAAAAAAAGCGAATCTCATTTCTCCCAGCACCACTTAGCCTTGCTCCAATAAACAAGTAATGGTACGAGCACCACGTAGTTGAGTAGAATGTTTTTCTTGTGCTTTGATCCTAATCTCTAGAGCAATATGTTTACTTTAAGTTTGCTGGAAGCTAGACTCTGTGTTTTGAAGGTCAGTTAAGAAATCTCTGGAGATCTGATGCTATTCACTCTCATGGAATGAAACGCTGACTCCAGCATTCCAGCTGCTAGCTCGTGTCCTAGGCACAAGGAAAGATTGCCCTGTCTTCATTCCTTGGGAAAAGATGATTTTGTTATTTAAATTGGAACAAAGCTAAATACTGTTGATTTTTATGTACCTAGTAGGCATGGATACATGATATCATTTGTAGTGTTAGAATATTCCAAGGAGGCGCAGAGGGATGTTGTCAAGGACATGAGGATATTGTAACTGGGGTCCCAAGGGTCAAATTCAGAGAATGCAGCAGTCTCATGGTACGAATGATAAACCAGATGAAAATAAAACAACAGAGCTGGCTAGTCAGCCTGCTGTTATAGCAGATTAATATAGACTCTAGCTACAACAAATAGAACAGGGACTTTCTGTAGAGTCAAATTATTTGCTATAAAATGCAGAGCACTAGAAGACTTCCAGTGAAGAAAGCCGTAAGCAAATGGCTGTGAAGTTGTGAATCCTGATAAATATAGAGTTATCAAGAAAAGAGTGCTTGTTTTCTCACTGGAGCTAAAAAGCACACACACAATATTAATATATCTCAGTAATTTATCTTGATGTTTTCTAGAAATACATGTTGATCTCCCTTTTGTTATATAAGTATAAAAAGCCCAGAAACATTAATACTACTTAGATGGGACTTGATATATACATCTGCTTGCAGATATATACATATAGGTAAAATATTACATCTTTCACTTCATGACAATTCTAATGGATTGTTTCCCAAACTAAATATACCTGCCATTCATCATCTTTTTCTTTAAGAACATATAATAACTGGAATAAGGCTCCTTATTAGAGGGACATAAAGAAAGAAAAATGATGGCAAAATAAATCCTTGGAACAAGACTGAAGGATAAAAAAACCAATTTGATCTATTATGAGAAGGACACTCCCGCGAGCCACTCGAGGTACTTGTTCATTTTCAGGTAAGTACAGGTTTTTTTATTCTAACATGATTTTGATTATTTGCATGAACTTACTAACTTCATTTTCACACCTTTTTTTTTTTTGTGAGAACTGCTGAACAATTTGTCACATACATTTGCAGGCATTAAGGATGCTATAATTTATGTGTTTCTAAAATTGGCTAGAGAAGTAATAGGAACTAGGGGCATATATTACAAATCAAGACAATTATCTACAGGAAAGCAGAGACACAGATGCTAACTTCGAACAAGCTGTTCTATCTCTGTGGCACACCATAGGTTCTGGAAGCTTCTGAGAGAGTGCAGAGCTCTCACTGATGACATTCTCCTTGAAGAAGCCAAGATGTATGCCAACCAGGATGCTGCTGTAACAATCTGACTATATTGCTTCAAGGTTCACAAGTGAGACCATTTTGGTTGGCTGTCTAGGGAAAGCAGGTCATTTAGAGGTTGATCTGGTAATTTGTACTGAATTGTACTCTGTTTACACACCCCATAACTACAAGCAAAAAGGACAAGAGTTGTGGCTTAGCTAGGGGATCAAGCATCTCAGGAATTCCATAATTTTCTCCTTAATTGGTATTGCCTTCTGCTTTGTTTACACCATACAAACTCAAATGTTGGTGTAGTCATCTAAATAATTTCTTTTACTTTTTTCTGATATAATTCTTACCCACATTTTTTGCAGGTTTTCACATAGTGTGGTAAAGCCAGTTTTCTCCTGTGCTCATTATGGAACTCATTCCTTTCTGACTGCTGTCAGATTTATGGAATAAAATGAAGTGATGAAATACTTCAGCTGTGCATTGGTGTACCTTGTAATGTAAAATCCTGTCAGTATTCTCAGTCATACTTCTCATATTAAACCATAAAACAGGCTTGAGGATTGCATCTG